CTCTGTGCAATAATGAAGTTTATTTTCTACCTAAAAGGACTTTTTACCATCTTTAATTTTCCCTGAGCCTGAGAGAGGCCGCAGGTGGCCCAAAAGTTTGCAGAAAAAGTTTTATTTTTGTTGTGATTTCTTAGTTGGTCTAATAAAAGGCATCATCTCTGAACCAAGACTTCTAAAGTTTTGTATTTCTTCTTCACTGTAATTAGAATTACATCTCTTTTAAAGATAGGGAAACCATAGCCCAGTGAAGTTAAGTTCCTCAACCCATACCCTGCAACAATATATGGCAAGGTGAGTAACTGAGTTGTGATCTCTTATCCACCCCCAATCGTGTGTATAGCTGAGTATAAAGGAACTCTGGCCATCAGGAAAAGAAAAAGAAATGTGAACAAATGTGCTAAGGGCAATTATAGCCTGGCTTGGTTTGAGCAGGTCATAAAAGTTAATGCTTTCTTCCCAGGGAACTAGATCAACACTAGCCAGAAGCACGTCTGCTGCCTGTCATTGGCTGGAAGTGAGAGACAGCGAGTAGCCACCGCATCCATCTTCTCTGATCTCCCTCTAGGAACAAGGATCGATAAGTATTAAAGGGTGACATTTTCTCTGTTTATGTAAACAGGCCTTTATTTCTGAGATGCTAACTACTAACGCCATTTAAAAATAAAGTCTGATGCTGTGGCTGTCACATACCAAATACCACCAACCCATCAACCTGCAGGTCCATCTTTAAATCGCCAGTGTCAAGAAATCACCCCATGTAATAAATCTTTCCATGACACATTACCTCATTGTTTCTCCATCCCCTTTCAGATTTAGACTGCAATGGAAATCTCTTCCACCTGACCCGAGCCTCAGAAATCCCCTGTTCCAGCTGGTGCTCTGCAAAGCAAAGAGAGGAGAGTCTGTCGGAGAGACGCCGTACAACATAAAGAGCTTTGAGTTGTATCGTGTCAGAGACTGTGTGTGTATGCATGTGTGGGAGGGATGAAAAATAATCTACAGTCCAATAGGTGGCAGGGTAGTCGAGCAGGATCCTGGGAGGCACAGGTATATCAGCAGAAACTCTAACAGGAATACATAGTCTAAGGTCATAGCTCTTGGACAAACGATTCAACTTCATACTCACCCATTTATCATTGCAAGTCTGCAGATGGGTAAACTGAGGCACAGTTGGGGAACATGACTTGCCTCTGGCTGTATAGCCAATCAGCAGATGGGATCAGCGGAACAGAGTACAAGGCTTATGACTCCCCAGTCCCTGCTCTGCCCATGCACACGGCCTCACCATTACACAATGCCTGGCACCAAAGAGACCCTGCTCGTCTCTAGCTCCCTCTTCCCGCTCGGTGTCTAGCGTCCTGGGGCACTGTCAGTGCCATGACTGTGTATTCCCATAGCAGTTACAAACCCCAGACTTCTGCCTGCCACAAGGGCAAATAAGACATGATACAACATGTTGTCCACTTGTTCCACCACAACTGGTTTCAGTTTGAGGTGCTGTCATCATTCAGGGGGAGGCGTGTAATCCTAAAGCCATCCATACTGTTTGTTCCATTGTGGTTTGTTTCCTTGCATAGTTTGCCATAAAAAAGTCCTTTTCCCTTGTTCTAAAAGCAGGTCCAGCAACTTGCATACTGAATAATTAGATTGTCCTCTCAAGCAAAATCATTCCACAGAGGCCTAGGAATTAGGATCAGCAATGATCCAAACATCTGCCCTAATTCCACCCATTTGACCTAAACTACTGATGAGAAGAGCTGAGAATTAATTTGGTATTTCTTGGAAGCTGGGTTGGTATACAGTGCCCTATTAGTGCTGGGAGGAACGTTTGCCTTGACTCTGAGTTACTGCATTTTATCAACTTTTCTGGGAGGCAATCATGCATCATTCACGCTCCTTCCCTGGTTCTAATTTGTTCCACGGGGAAATACGTTACTCAAACTCTTTTGGTGGTACAACTTATTTCCCACCTTGCAGGATAATGCATAATATCTCCCAAACATTTTTATGGAACTTATTTTTTTCCATTAACCTTTATTGTAGCCCACAGGAATATTTATGGCCAGAAACAATAGTGGGATGTTGTGAGTCTAGGGCAGTCTCTGAAGGCAAAATACTGCAGAGACGGACATTAAGTATAACCAGAATGGTCCCTTGAAAATCAGCGTGAGTGCTGATGGCTGAGCCCAAGGTTTACCATGGAAGTTGGGTTAAGATCTGGGTGGCACAAAATCAAGGAAGCAGTAATTTGGGGTTTAGCTGGTCGAGCAGGAGTTAGTGCTTCAGTTCAGGAGAGACTCAAGTTTGAAAGTACACGATTCAACACCAGAGGAGCAGAAGAATCCTATTTTGGATGCAAGTCTATAAAATAACTGCTGGACATCCAGATTACTTTCTCTCTCATGGGTGTGTTCTTGAATTTGTCTTGGTTTTTTGTAGAAGTTAAAAGTAGGGTTGAAAAACAACCCTCCAATCAAGCTAGACAAAGACAGCCAGAAGAGCTGTGTATGGACCAGGACCATGTGCTTAAGCCCAGAATAGCAATTCAAGCTGACATTAGTAAGTCTGGGGAGAAGACAACATATTGTACCAGGTCCAAACTATTAGCTTTTACGGAAGGCAGGCGTCTGGCATTTATAACTGGAGCAGGAGCACAGGCTGAGCACTTACAACACAGCCAGATGCTATGCATGTGACTCACAATATCAGATCCTGTTTATAAATGTCTTTTCAAGAGAACATGTTTTGCCTGTTGACTCCTCCAGCAATTACCTAGTGAATTCAATAGTTCCCCATGTATTATATAAATCATTCACACCAAAGTGATGAACCCAGAGTCCTCATTAGCACCAGCCACAGTAGATAAACCAGCACCACACAAATTAACTATGAAGAATTTAATTATATAAGCCATTACACACTTTTGACCTTCTCCAAAGGAAGTTTGGAGAACAGAAGGCTGGGAAGGCTGGAGAATGGTGAACAAGCTCTGCTTCATTTCAGCTCAATCCGAGGTGAGAGTTGTTAAGCCAACAAGAAAAACAAGTTAATGGACCATTGTGTAGGACTGACTTGCATCTAATTATTCGGCATGTTTATTTGTCCTAATTTAACATCATTTTGGGAGGAAATTCCTTATATGCCCTCTATAGGGACAAAGTAGAAGCTTCCAAGGTAAAATATTGATGTTCAATACCAAATATTTTTTCCATTGCTGCCCTGTTTTTCCATCCTCAACTTGTGATATCTACGAATAGTTGGCCAGATCTTCACATCTATCCATTCACTAGATAACGGAATAGGCCGAGAAACGGAGACTCTCAGGGGAAAGCGCAGCTGGGAGTTCAGGGGCTAGACTGAAATTGCTAAGAACAATTAGCTGGGATGAACTCCAAAGCTAAAAATACCTCTTTGCTGTAAACTATGGAGTCTCTCCATATGGGAAAGCTGTATGTAGTTGGGTGGGTCTGAATCTCCAAGCCAAGGCCAAGCACCTCTGAATCATGAGCCAGGCCCCCAGCATCCTTTGAGTTCATCTTCTCCAGCTTTATGCTGCAATTAGGGGCCACCTAGACATGTGCCTGATGCCTGCTCCGATGCGCCAATGCTAATTGGCACGCTCTGGCAGCCTTGGCATCATGTACGTTCAGCATCCTTGCACTTCAAACAGGTGGCAGGGACACTTTACCTAAAGCTCATCAAACAAGCTTTAGTTAAAGCACCCCCACCGCCATTTAGAAGTGCAGGACACTGAAAACATGGGACGCTGTGGGAGCTCTTGAGAGCTGCTCTTATTTAAGTGCCCCTCCCCCCACCCCAGAGCATGTGTAAAAATGCCCAGGATGTCTAAAAATAGGTTTTTTTAAATGAATGTGGAGATTCTCCCCTAATTACATGACTCTGGAAGCTTGGGCTGAAGGAAAAACACCAAGGGAATTAAGTAGCAATGGCACAGCTAACATTAGCCAAGTGAATGGTATTTTGGGCCACTGACGCAGACTTCAGATCCTGTTGCCCCCTGCACACTACTCTGTCCTTCTCAGCACTCTTGGAAGGGATTAATGCACAGTCCAACAACATTTTTTTGTTTTAATCCTAAATTGAATAATATAGTCCTAGCCCATATGCATATTAGTAAAGCTTTTAGTTTGTTTTTACTACTCTGACCACACACACTTCACATAAAGCGCCATGAGTTAGGGCCCCCGCCCCAACAGAAGTCTACCTGTTGGGCCGGGTGGAGGGGGCAGGATCAAGCTCCATTTTTAAGCCAGTTGAGCAGAGCAGCTGCCTGCCTGAGGCCAGATACGGCCCGCCAGGCCATTCTGTCCGGCCTGCAGGCCCCCGAAAATATTTAAAAAATATTTATCGCCCCCCAGCTGCCCGTCATGCGGCCCTCGATGGCTGGCCCAAACCCAGTAAGCAGCCCTCCGCCCGAAATAACTGCCCGCCCCTGAAATAAGCCCAGTTCCCTCAGCCTGTCCTCACCAGTCACCTTCCCCAGTCCTCCAGCCATCCCAGCCGCCCCCTGCGGGACGCTCTTCATGCTCCTGGCTGGAGCTACGGCATCCCGCAGGGCTGAGCAACGTCCCGCGAGCAGCCGGCGCAAGCCAGCCTAGCTCGGGTAGCGGACGCCACTCGAGACCGTCCCAAGTGGGGCATTACCCCCCCCGCCCAACTGCCACACGTGGGGCCGGCGCAGGCCCGGCACGGTCACGTCTCACGCTGCCCCGGCGGGAACGCGGCTAAACTTTGGGCGCAGCAGGGCCGGCAGCGGGTGCGAGCGTCGCCGTCGCCGTCACCGCCACCGGTCCAGCGCCATCCTTTTCGCAGCCGCCCGGCAGGGAGTCCAAGGCATCTCTGCTCTGCTGGGTGCCGGGGGCGGGGGCTGAGGAGCCCGG